GGCCAAGTTACGAAGACGAAGTCAATCCACTTCTATAGAACAACGCAAATTTATACGTTAATATTGCTACCAAATTAGAATGAACTCATCTTTTCCACGAGCCAGCAGATAATTCCTGTTATTTTTTATTTGGCATAGAAGGCGGAAATGTCTTGGCTGGATGCAGTTAAAGTTCCTTTGGACCAGATGATCTTCAAGGTTAGAGATTGGCGATGCACATGATCAATTGAGTGTAAAGCTAGTTACTGTGGGAAGGCAACAAGTCACCAATGTCTATACTATCCAAGCTTGAGCTATAGGCTGAACAGTTCTTTTAAAGAGAGAAGTGCCCATTACCCTCTATAAATAGGAATGCCCATTTATCAAGTCTTGTGAAATCATAGTAGCTTGCTATTACAAATCGCCATAAAATTTGGCCATTTTACCATCCACTTGTTATGATCAGATATATCATAAACACTTCATTATTTGCAGACCTCTTTTAGCATTTAATTCCCTCTTATCAAAGCTAAACATTCTAGACTCAAATAAATATGCTATGGCTAGGCGATGCAATATCTTTCGTTCGAAGGCGGCCTCTTCGGTTCGGCCATGCGACTGACCAGAGAGGCCCATGTAGTGAAGCTTTATCTTGGGGTATTAAGAAAAAAATAGAGTGAAGAGAAGCTGGGTTTCGAATAATCCTTCAATACAATGATGATGACGTATCTTCCAGTTCGTTTGAGAAATTGGGTGAGATGGATTCGTAAGTTGGTCTCACCAGAAACCGAAGAGGGATAGTCTTCGACTTGTGACTGCTGGATTATGCGGAGAAGACCTCGGCTGACTGTAAATATTTCGTAAATGATGGTTTCCAGCTCTAAAAATGTACGTCACATGACGGAAGAAAGCTCAGCACAGATTCATCGGAGTCGCGGGACAGTGATCCGAGGTCTTCTTTACACACTACGGTAGTCACAAGTTTAAAACAAACCTTCTTCTGACCTTGGTAAGACCGATTTAAGAATCCCTTTTATCCACATTTTACAGAGTAAATAGAGGCATGCAATCTTTAAAAATTGCTTGCTTTTTATACACCCAAAAA